GAGCTTTCCAAAACACTATAATAAAGTATTTTTTTATTAAGTACTTTTTGAGTTATTTTATATTTTAATCTGACATATTTTGATATAAAAAATAAAATATCTCGTAAAATATTTAGTTCTCAATAATCTTACCGTAATACTTTTATGTACAGAATAATGAAACAAATCAATTAGTAAAAAAAAACTAATTGTTTTTAAGAAAAAGTATGAAAATTAAAGGTGTCCTTGACTTGACCTTAACGATGCCATCCAAGGTCAAACCAATGACACTATCTTATGTTTCTCTCAAAACCATACAATTTTTGTTGAAAACGTTTTTCTCTAAAATGCTTAGTTTTTAAAAGAAAAGGGGTGTACGGGTGGTCTAGAACCCTGTATATAATTCTATATAAGTATAACTCCTTAAATATATGTATAACTAAATATTATAATTTATAAAATCATTAAGGATTGATGTTTTGTTCAGATCTGTACTAATTTTATTTATATTTTGTATATGTGTTTAAGTTTGTATAAAAGAAATAAAGTTTTCAATAAAAATGGCTTTTTTAAGTTGACTTTTTAAAATTTCTGAATTTTTTAGTCACGAAGTTTAAAATAAAACATTTTTTTTTAATTTATAATTGGGAGTGTAACTTCTTGTTATATGTTAATTATGTAATATAGAGATATCTTAATTTGGTTGTTCCAACTAAATATTTGTAATATTTATAAAAATATCAATTTTTAACTTTTTGCATAATATATCGGTATTATATTTACAATAATACCTTATAAATTTATTTTTTTTTTACATCTTTTTAGTCATTCTAATTGTATTTTTTTTAATAAATTAAATAGTACTAATATTTAAATATGGTATTTCATTTGAAAAAAGAGTTGACATCATTTTCGATGAAATCAGAAACGATACAAAAAATTTTATAAGATGTTATTATAGATACTATAGTATTGACATTTTGCAAAACTTCAAATTAGTATTTTAATAAATAAGAAAAATATTTAGTTTGGATATCCAAACTGCAAAACATCCTGTATACTACCTACTATATTTGCAAAACAAAAAATTATAAACAAATACATTACATAGAATTACTTTACGTTACATATAATATTACATGGAATTACTTTATATTGCACGGAATTGTTTCATATTACATGTAATTATGTCGCATTACTTAGAATTATACACGCATTATATGGAATTACTTGGAATTACTTGGATTTCCCGGTAATTCGCAATACATGTACAAATTTTTGATGAGTGAGACACCCCTCGGATTTTGATTATCATGATACTTACTGTTGTTTGAATTACCAGGCTATCCTTGCTCTCTGTTATTGAAGGTTTCCATTGCTTTTTTTTTAGGTGAATGCGACCTTTCGGTGGAAGCAAGTGGGGTAGCAGTCTTAACTGCAGAACGATTTTGCTATCTGCAATCAGATGAAATAAATTGAAGAGAAATGAAAATAGTATATATATAGTGTTCTTTTACAGAAAAAAGATGCTTACTGTCGTTCAATTTTTCGTGTTCAAGCAATTCTAATAGAGATTGCGCATTGTCGTCATCTTTCTTTGGTGGGCGAATTATCAAGATTTTTTCAAAAAAAGTTTTCCAACTTTCTAGCGTTAGTTTTAGCGCTGGCAGATTCAAAAATGCGTAGTCCTCCTCGATTAGCTTGTGTGCATTTGGATGTTTTAGGATGGGCCAACGTTCAAAAATTTCGCATACTTTCAAACCCCGGTCCGATTTTATGATTTTATGCCGATATTCAGCAGTAAGTTTCCATTTGCCAACGACGATTTCCCACGGCGTGGAATGGCTTTTGAGCCATCCTTCAGCTTCACGAATAGTTTCTGTATTAGGATCATGAAGAAATTAGAATGCAAAGATTGAATCCATTTGAGATAGAATAGAATTTTAAATATATATATTTGAAGAAAAATTGCCTGGTACCTTCATCGGAGGATGGATC